GATTATAATCTGATTTTTAGTCGTTAATAAAGTTTTTATTTTTTTATTGGCACGATTTCTTTTTTTAAAACTCTTTCTAATCGATTAAAAAGACTTGTCAATTTTAATTAATTAAAATTTTTCAATGAATTTTAATCGATTTCAAATGGATTCATACTTTTGAAATAATATAAATAAGATATGAACACTGAACATAAAAAATGAGCAAAATTTTTCATTAGATTATCAACCCATGCCATAATCAACCATAGTTTATAAGTCCTACTCGGTCTTGAAGGCAGGACAGGGCGAGAAAAAGATGCTCTGTCATGATCTCTATTCTCAAATCCAACCATAAGTCTTGATTTAAAAAAAATGTTATGATCTGAAACAGAAGACATTGTTCGTTCAATTTTTGATTCGAGTAGAAGATCTTTATATATTTCATTCTGACAATCATTTCGACAAGAAGAAAATAATTTACATAGACTTTATTGATTTATTGTACATTAAATCTCGAAAGGAAACTCTTCCAACAGATACTTTCCGTTTGACTTCATAGGTAGGATTCATAGTGTCGATAAAAAATTCTAAAAAGGTTCACGTTGTTAGGCCTTTCTTCTCAAGTGTCATGCTTATTTTATTGAATTTTCAGCCTATAATAGGGTATTACGAAAAAACTGTAATTAGAAACTTTCATCTAAAACTTCGCCGAACAATAGTTTTCATTGTTCTTATGATATCCTGAAGGTTTCAGGTGAAAGTTTCTTATTGTAGTTTTTTCGTAATACTCCTTATTATAAGCTGGAAATTCAGTAAAATGAACATAATTCAAGAAGAAAAGCCTAATGGTACGAAACTCGTTCAGAATTTTTATCTACTCTATGAGTTCAATCGAAGGTTATCAGTTGGAAGAGTTTCTTTCTCAGTTCTAAAATAAAACATGAACTATAAGTTTATCTAAAAATTAATCTGTTCTTGAGATAGATATAAATATTTTGTTTTTAAACGTGAACTTATCTTTCTTCTAGTAGTTCTTTAAAAAGTATATTAGTAACTTTGATTAATGGGAAAAGATTTTTTCGAAATTCTACTGAATAATATCTATGATGCATACATTAGATTTTCGTATGATGAAATTTAAAGTTCTCTCTATTGTTCAGATTTGAATTTCAACCAAAAAAAAATAAATTTCTTCATTTCAGAGCAACAGTGTTGAGATGTCTTATGGTCGACATCCTTATCCTGAATCTTATGTAAATGGTCTCTCATCAAATCGATCAATAATAATAAATCCTGCAGAAGAATTACCAGCAAATCATTCGAATTCCGATGCTTTAACATTAAAACTTCAATCAGCATTACTTAAACGTCAACAATCATTAGGTTATGATAGAAATATTAATATTCAACGTTCACCTGAATCAAATATAAACAATCGTGGCTCAATTAAAATAAATAATAATAATAATAATAATCAATCAAAATGATTATCAAATGATAGTTATTATATATTAATTGTAGAATAACAAAATAAAAAAAACATCTTTAGGAGTTTCACTGTTTCATTTTCACCGGTGATGTGTCATTCCAAGGATTTAAATCATAATATAACAAAAACAAAAAACAAAAATCTATCATAATAACAGTTCCTTCTAAACAGTGTACTCTTTGTCTTTCTTTGTTCTGTTGCTTCTTATTCACTTTTGCTTTTTTGTTTTTTTTGGTTTGTTTGTTTTGAGGACGTTCACTCACAGTACCTTTTTATCTTTTATGTGTGTATTTTATGTTAATGTCGAGTTTTAACAAGTGTAATGGGTGCTAAAAGAAAGCAAAAAAAAAAACAAAAAAAAAAGGAAAAAAGAAACAAATCACACATCACCCTGAGCGATATTCGTTCAAATTGAATACACACGTATCTCCTTATTTTTCTGATTCATGTATATAAAATTATGATGTGGTTATATTAATAAAAGCCTTTATCATACTTTATTTACTTATCAAAAGTTGAATGATTTTTTTTTGTTTTACTAAACAAGCGTTAATAACTTAGTTCGACAGGGAATATTCATATATAAAGGGTGTTTCATAAGTAACAGCCCCATTTTTATTATTTTTTTGTTATCTTTGTTATATTTCAAAATGAATAGTTATCAATGATATGGTTTTGAAGAGTAGCATCTAAGCTATCCGTTCAATGGAAATGGTTCACATTTTACATTAATTGTAACAAAGTGCTGCATTAGTGGAAATATTGAAAAAAATTTATCAAATTAATTTTTCATCTTTTTTTCTATAGAGCATAACCTTCTCAGTATTTTATGAATATCTCTCTCAACTTTTGATGCTTTAACTTGAATTTTTTTCCAAAAGATAGCTTGTCAAATTCTCTACAACATCCAATAAAAATAACTCTCAAAAGGGGTAATTGCAAAACCATATCTGATCACTAGCACTACATTTCAAAGAAAGTCCACTCCTGCTAACGGGGATTTTTTTTAAAGCCAATAATTGCTCTTTTCATGACGGAACAGGTTTCAAGCCATCCTAAGTTATTCGTTTGGATAGCTGTTCATATTGGACTTTGTAGAGAATTTCATAAGCTATCTTTTGGAAAAAAATTCAAGTTAAAGCATCAAAAGTTGAGAGAGATATTCACAAAATACTGAGAAGTTTATGCTCTATAGGAAAAAGATGAAAAATTAATTTGATAAAGTTTTTTTAATATTTTCACTAACGCAGTACTTTCTTAGATTTGATATAAATTGTGAGCCATTCCTATTGGATGATAGCTTAGATACTACTCTTGAAAACTATATCATTGATGACTATTCATCTTCAACTATGACAAAGATAAGAAAATAAATAAAAATGGGACCGTTACTTATGAAACACCCTTTATGTGTCAAAAAATAGGATAAGTACACTATGTACTATGTACATGTCAATATTGCATACTGATCGAAACAAATATTGCTTCTTTCGTTCACATGATCTTGAGGCATTGAAGTTATTTTGTCTTGAAATTGACTCGATGTCAAAACTTTAATACATTACTTTTCAAATATAGAATTGAATGATATGTATGCTAAGATGACATCTTTCTTGTTTAGAAATATTTCCTAGGGCAATATTATTGTAATGCAAGATAGAATAAAGTCAATTCTTAATTTGACTAGATCAAAATTTCTATATTTACTTGATCAATCGAAGAAGTTACAATAAAAGAAACACTTGGAGTATCAAAAATCTTTTCTTGGTATTTTATAATATTTTTTTAATGAATATAATATAAAAATCAATAATTACTTTAGCTACGATGAGAGTAGGGATGCATTTACATTGTCAACATCAATAACATTCTCATCTACATATCCACTTGAGTCAAGTATAGCATGTTTTTGAGTGATTACAAGTCTGCTAATCTCGAAAACATTGATATGCATGTGATAGTAATATTTAAAAAATTGATTTTAGATATGTTTTTATTACTGTATGGCTTATATGAGATATAAGTTAATAGGAAACATCAACATTCGTTCTATTGTAATAAAAATGAATAATGTTTCTTTATTATATTATCTGTATATTTCATAGATTATTATTTATTGTTCGTATATCTTCACTATGCTTTCTTGTTGTTGTTTTTATTCCTCTAGTGCATTATTAACAATGAATAATCCCGTTTTTTTTTTTATAATAATTTTCAAGAAATGCAAAGGATATCAGTTATCAAGTGATCGTCTTTCTCATGTCATTGAAATAATCAGATAGTATTAACATTGATGCTGTTTATTTTCTCGTGGTTTTCTTTATTTTTGGTTTTTAATAAATATCTTAAGCTAACAAAAACTGTCTCATCTTTCTGTAAACATTCTCTATACTTCTTGATACTTCAGAAGTATGATTTTTTCTCCTTGTCATTGTTGCGATGTAATTCTTTCACTCTTACCATTACTAAACAAAAATAATCACTAAATATTTATTTATTCAATTCACAAATAAGTGAAACTATATTGCTTAACGATCATGCATTAAGTAGATCTTATTTACCAATAATAAATTTTACAGGTCGTGATTTTCTTCATCGTGCTGAAAAACTAATATTACTAAATCAAATAAAATCAAACGATGGATATATATCATTTTTAGTTCATTATATAGACACAAAATTGACAATCACTTATTAATGACAATACAATTGAGACGATATTGATTGCTTTGATATAGAACAACTTATTTTAGAATCATATTTAGGTATCAATTAAATTGATTGTAACTGTCATAATAATAACATTATTAAAGAAAATATTCAGCTTTTAAATGAGACCGATAAAGTAAATTTATAGTTAATGAATTAAATTCAAAATAAAAAATGTTTGATAACTCGACAAAAACAATAAATAATGACAATGATGATAAAACCAGCTCAGATTCCGATAACTGTCAGTCATTAAACGACGATGTCAAAGACAATGATAAAACTGATGAAAGT